GATACTTACTATGTCCCTCGACCCTCGGGTGATGGTGTGCATACAGTGTGTGGAAAGATACTTACTATGTCCCTCGACCCACGGGTGATGGTGTGGAAAGATACTTACTATGTCCCTCGACCCACGGGTGGTGGTGTGCATACAGTGTGCGGAAAGATACTTACTATGTCCCTGGACCCACATCTTCCATTATGACACCCACAGCCTCACAAAGCCACGCGGAGCATCTAGTGCAACTCTCCAAATCACTCAGTCAACTGACATGCGTGAAGGCATCCCCTCTCACAGAAACCAGATATACAGCAGCTTCTGCTCTCTGACAGAGTGGGGAATTCTTTTAGTTATGATCAGCAAGCCTGACTTCAGCCATTTCTGCCTTTAAGGGGAAGGAGGAGCAGTGACATAATTCAGTCATAAGGAAAGTAAGTCTGATGCTCCTGGTAAAGGGAAAAGGTGGCCTGAAACAGGGCAGCTTTCATCAATATTTCTAGGTCCTAAAGTTCAAGACTGGGAAGGGATGAGTCAGGTCTTTGAGTAAGGTGGGCAGCTAAACTGTCATGTGGAAAGAGAAAGGGAAATTGCGCTTCCTTGGTAGAATCCCAGAGAAGGTCATTTCTGAAAAACAGAGAAGTGAAGCGTCTTAAAGAGGAAAAGGGGGTCTGGCAACTGGCAGCATGGTGGCATCCAGCTCTGTACGGCTCAGGAACACAGTGGCTTACACGTGTACCTTGGCTTACACCTGTGCCTTGGCTTACACCTGTGCCTTGCCTTACACCTGTGCCTTGCTTACACCTGTACCTTGGCTTACACCTGTACCTTACCTTACACCTGTGCCTTGCCTTACACGTGTACCTTGCCTTACAAGTGTACCTTGGCTTACACCTGTGCCTTGCCTTACACCTGTGCCTTGCTTACACATTTACCTTGGCTTACACCTGTGCCTTGCTTACACCTGTACCTTGGCTTACACCTGTGCCTTACCTTACACCTGTGCCTTGCTTACACCTGTACCTTGGCTTACACCTGTGCCTTGCCTTACACCTGTGCCTTGCTTACACCTGTACCTTGGCTTACACCTGTGCCTTGCCTTACACCTGTGCCTTGCCTTACACCTGTGCTGTGTACGAGAGTCTCTGAGGGGAGGTAGTCTTGTGGCAGTGTAGTCAGGGATGAGACAGCCACAGGAGGACAGGAGGAGTGAATCAGGAGGAAGCAGGAACGTGGAGCAGAGTCACCAGTGACCGTGGTGACCTCTGTGTTATAGTTACTGCATAGAGCTGGTTTTAACAGCCGATTTGCTCTAGAACACAGGTGTATGGCTTTCTTTATCCACTTTCAGTCTGGTTACAAACGCTTGGAAGGAAACTGGCTAACCAAGCTGGGTGATGGTACATAAATTTCACATACCTGTAACCCACCAGATCAAACTGGTACCATGAAACCAGGAACAAGTGGGAAGCATCAATCCACTTGCCAAGCCCAGCAGAATTACACCTCTGCAAAAAAAAAAAAAAATGTTTAAGATACTCAATGTCATTAATGTTTCCGTACAACAAATACAAAACGGAAACATACCTCCTACCTCTAGGTACATGCCAGAAATAAGACACGTGTGAAGCAACCAAGGAGACCGAGAGAGCCCGCTGGGAACCAGTATTGTACATGTCAGAACAGGACAGCACTGACATTCTCACGAGATAAATGATACCTGATAATGGGCCTTTCATAGTCAATGCAAATACAGTAACTGCGTTTTTAAAAGTATTATAGTCCATATTGTTCACTTCACATTTTAAATGACTCTATCAAAGACAAGAAAGAAAACATCCGTGGAATGGTTCTATTTAGTTTGCTTTTTTTCTTTCTTTTCTCTTCCTCAATTCTGCTCTTATCTACGTTCTCTGCCTTCCCAAGGCAGACCCGTATTAGTTTAATAAATAATTGATAATTGTACATTTTCTGAAACAACCACAAGCTATTTTATTCTTTTGCTATTTTGACAAAAATTTGTAGCTGAAGGGAATAAAAGGTAAACATTAGGGGGAAATCCAGCCACAAAAACAGCTACCGCAGAGCCCTCAATTAAGTCTGTAACATGACTGGGCATGGTGGCTCACGCCTGGAAGCCCAGCACTCTGGGAGACCGAGGCGGGTGGATTGCCTGAGCTCATGAAACCAGCCTGAGCCAGAGAAAGACTCTATCTCTAAAAATAGCTGGGTATTGTGGCGGGCACCTGTAGTCCCAGCTACTTGGGAGGCTGAGACGAGAGAGTTGCCTAAGCCCAGGAACTGGAGGTTGCTGTGAGCTGTGACATTACAGCACTCTACTGAGGGCAATAAAGTGAGACTCTGTCTCTACAAAAAAAAAAAAAAATAGCCTGGCACTGTGGTGCATGCCTGTAGTCCCAGCTACTCAGGAGGCTGAGGCAGGAAGATTGTTTGAGCCTAGGAGTTTAAGGCTGCAGTGAGCTAGGCTGATGCCATGGCACTCTAGCCAGGCCAACAGAGAAAAAATAGAGAGAGGGAGTAAAAGAGAGATGTAGACTCAATGAAATGAAATAACATATATAAACATCCTTGTTCGGTGCCTTGTTCACAGAATAAATAATAAATATCCATTCCTCTTCCCATTGTCCACCCTCAAGGAACTTAGTGTCTAGAGAGGAAGACAGAAAAAAAAAAAATCTGAAATACAGAATAAAGAGGTATGTAACATAGAGGTTGTGAAGGAAAGAGATCAATTAATTGATTCAAAGTAATATGTAGAATAAAGGAGGGAGCCCTGAGACGACCAGAGAAGGCTTCATGGGGATGGTCGAGCTGGGTTTTGACAAGTAAGAGCCAGGAAGCCACGGCAGAAAGAAGAGCCTGGGCAGAGGGCAACAGGTGCACGCAGGGTGGGCTGAGCAGCCTGGCCCTGCAGAGAACCGAGAGTGGGGTCAACCCAGGTGAAATAGGGGATAAGGTCAGGGAACACTGACGGGTAAGTGGGGGACAGACACTGTCTCCTACGGAAGAAGAGGGGAGGTGTTTCCCTGCCAGTTGCTCGTGTCCATGCCCCAGGTTCACACTCTCCAAGCTGAGCTGCCTAAGTCCCTCCCTGACCTGCCCCAGCACCTGTCTCCATGGCCAACACCTGGATCGGGCGCATCACCTCCCACCTGGACGCCCACCTCAGCCTCTTGACTGTCTCCCCTTGTTTACTCTTCCCTCTCTCCGATCCATTCTCCACATAGCAGCCAGAGAAATGATTATTTTTTTAAATACAAACCCGAGGCTCGGTACCTGTAGCTCAGTGGCTAGGGCGCAACCACATACACCAGAGCTGGTGGGTTCAAACCCAGCGTGGGCCTGCCAAACAACAATGACAACTACTACAACAACAACAACAACAAATAGCTGAGTGTTGTGGTGGGCACCTGCAGTCCCAGCTACTTGGGAGGCTGAGGCAAGAGAATCCCTTAAGCCCAAGAGTTGTGGGTTGCTGTGAGCTATGACACCACAGCACTCCACCAAGGATGACAAAGTGAGACTCTGTCAAAAATAAATAAATAAAATAAAATACAAACCCAATTATGTCCCTCCATGGCTTACTACCAATCAGTGGCTTCTTACTACTCTTAGGGAGAAGTCCAGCTCGGTAAGGACTGAAGGCCCGGTGTGACCTGGCTTAATTGCTTTCCAAATTCAAACTCACCCAAAAGGGTTAGGGTCTGGGCCTGGGTCGGGGTGCCCACTCACAGCCCATCTGGAAACAAGAGAGACCTCTCCAAAAATCCAGTGGGTGAGGAACATGAGGCTACCAAAGGCAGCGCCTGCCAACAGCCAGCTGGGTCTGGGCCCCACGGCTGCCTCCGCGGGCTTCTTCCCCTCAGGTTTGCTGCAGTCGCTATCTAGAGTAAAAGGAAATGGGACAGGGTCAGTTACCTGGAAACGTATGCGGAACAGTATTTAACAGACTTGCAGCCAGTAAGAAACAGTACCTGAGTTCAAGGACCTGCCATTAGAAGAGAAGTCAAGATGTGCAGCTGTGGTGCTGGCAGCTGCTCAGGGGGCTGATTGCAGGCAGGTGACAAGCAAGGGAGTTGTGTGATCTGAAGGGAGGCCAGAGTAGAGGCTGGCTAGGAAAGGGTTAAGGGAGAGCAAGCGTTTTGGAATTTGACAAGTGAAAATGCAGGAAATTATTTACTTCACGCAAAATTAACATTATAGGCAAAAATACAGGGTGTCCATAAAGTTCATGTGAAATTTAAATTTGCACCGGGACTTCATGGTCACCCCGTATATGCAGAAAAAAATGAATGGCACGTTCAGGGAACAAAGGTAGTCCAACCTGAAGAGACCATTCCCCATGCAAAAGGCTGCTGTTTCCTCCCCAGAGGGCTATCATCTAACCCTCTGTGTGCCCAGGGCACCAAAAGGGCATGAGGGAGCAGTTCTGGTACACGGACGCCTCCTGCTAGCCCTTCATGTTAACTCCTTGAATCTTCACAACATCTTCAGGAAGCAGACTCTATTGCTAATCCCATTGTACAGATTAGAAAACATGCCCAGAGAGATCAAGTTCAAGATCACACAAGTAGTGCGGAGAAGCTGCGAAGGCCAGGTGCAGTGGCTCACTCCTGTAATCCCAGCACTCTGGGAGGCCGAGGCAGGTAGATTGCTTAAGCTCACAGTCAAGACCAGCCTGAGCAAGAGTAAGGCCCTGTCTCTACAAAAAAATAGAAAAAAAAATTGTGCCTGTAGTCCCAGCTACTCAAGAGGCAAGAGGATCCCTTGAGCCCAGGAGTTGGAGGTTTCTGTGAGCTGTGATACCACAGCACTCTACCCAGGGTGACAGAGTGAGAGTCTGTCTAAAAAAAGAGAGAGAGAGAGAAACTGAGAAACTGGGACTGAGGTTAGATCCTGTCCTATGCTTTGTGGGGCTGTTTAACCAATTCATCACATCAATGACTTCAGGGACATTGGAGAAAATGCCGGCAAGAGATTTCTTCGTAGGAACAGAGAGAGCCTGGCGCCCTCTGCCGGATGGAAGGAAGAAATCTTCGGGTCCAACTGTGCACCTGGCGTTCTGATTTCACAGGGAAGAAGGTTCTGACAACAGTGACATCAGAGGAAGGAGGACCAGAGCTGAAAGCTGTGGGTGGGGTGGGATGGGAGAGGCAGACTAGTGGTCTAGCAGCGTCTTTGGAGAAAGAAGGCATTTAAACCGAATGTGCTCAGCAGAAGGCAGTGTACAGTGGTGAGGACTCCACCTACTTGGGACCTAACACATATGAAATAAAATTATGAAAACCACTGGGTATGCTCAGCTATCTTTAAGAAGATGGTGCAGAGTCAGAGTTTTATAAATGGGGGCACAGGGCAGACCTAGACAAGGGGTTGACAGCCAGCAACTGGGTCACGTAAATTTAAAACTGAGGCAAGAAAGAACAAAAGTCAAGGCAAGACCCTGAAGCCCCAGTCCCAATCAGGCCATAGCTGGGAAATGTGCAGCCTGAGTTTCTACCCCTAGGTATGAATGTTTTCTAGAATACAGAGCATGGCTGGGCACTGAAGGAACTAAGGCAACTTTGCCCCCAAAATATGACTCCTTGGTATAAAAAATATTTTGAATGGGCTCAGCACCCATAGCTCAGTAGTTAGGGCACCAGTCACATGCCCCGGAGCTGGTGGGTTCGAACCCAGCCCGGGCCTGCCAAACAACAATGACAACTACAACAACAGCAAAAAAAAATAAAAAATAGCCGGGCATTGTGGTGGGTGCCTGTAGTCCCAGCTACCTGGAAGGCTGAGGCAAGAGAATAAGAGTATGAGGTTGCTGTGAGCTGTGATGCCATGGCACTCTACCAAGGACAGTGACATACTGAGACTCTGTCTTTAAAAAGAAGAAAAAAAGAAGAATATTTTGAATTAAAGGCCATCCAAGATCAGGAAGCATTGAAAGAGGACTTTCCTGGCTTGGCGCCTATGGCTCAAGCAGCGAGGGCGCCAGCCACATACACCTAAGGTGGCGGGTTCGAATCTAGCCTGGGCC